ATCAATTGAGTGAATTATCTTCAGTAGTTACTAAAATATCGCAGTTTTCGTATTTCGGGAAATTACCGTTATATGGGAAGTGGGCGTGGTTACAGTCCGATTTCGCCTACCTACCTTGGATTAACGGAAACCTACATACCAAATTTCGTTGAGATATCTCAATTTTTGCTCGAGTTATCGTGTACACGGGCGGACGGACAGACGGACGGACAGACAGACGTGGGTTAAACGATTTCTCTATTCATTCTGAGCATTTATGTATACATTTGTCTATATCTATCTCGATTCGTTTTGGCTGTTACAAACAACCGTTATGTGAACAAAATTAATATACCCTTGTGCACAAGTGCGCTCGGGTATAAAAAAATGCAAAAAAAGGCATACATACATACAATGGTAAAAAAATTATAACCGAACCACTTTTTGCCAAAGTTTTAACGTATTATTTTTGTTGTTATTGAACTCTTGTTATTTATTTAAATAAAAATATAGTTCATTCTTTAACAATACCCGTGGAAATCCATGTTTCCAAATTTGAATAGTCCACTTGCAAAGGCGCTGTGTAAATTTTTTTAGATTTTTAGTTTTTGGTGAGTAACATACCAGCATTTAAAGTAGTTTCATGTCCACTAACAATACAGTGCAAAATCTTTCTATTTTCTGAAAAAATAGCATCAAATGTTAACTGCTATTGCAAAAGTCGCTATAATACTTATTTATACACTTTCAAAAGTCTCCATCTTCTGATGAGCTTAGAAAACTGGTCAGAAAACGTGGTAGCTTCGGTGCCTAGTGGAAGGCGTCGTAAAAAAGAAGCAGACCGATCTTTATGGAAGGGAGAAGGCGAAATTCTAAACAAAGATAGCTATGTAAAAGTTACTGTTTCAGAATTCGCTATATTAAATTTTTATATATAAAATTTGCAAAAACTACCACACTGCGATATTGTTTTTTAATGTTATTAGGCTCTTGTTTATCCAAGTTTTCAGATAATAAAGAGAAATATACAATTTGGATGTTACTTGTTGTTGTAGACGTTTTTTTAATTGATGGCTCACTATTATAAAATCACATAACGCTGTTTGCAAGTGGACTACTCATTTGTGCAATATTAAAAAAAAACTTCAACAAACTTTCGTACAAATTTCGAACTTTTAAAAATTCTAAAAAATCAGTCGACATTTTTAGCCATTTCAAACTTGTAGGCAGGGTACGAAAATAAACTGTACAAAACAATTCCCATTTGCTCATCGACCATCATATCATTTGTGGTTTTGTACAGTTTTGTAAATAGTCAGAAACAAATTGTAAGATTCACTGTAATTTTCCCCAACGAGAAACGTTTGCTTTTCGTTTGTGACAATTGTACCATAGGGTACGTTTTATATGTATGCAAACGTTTCAATTACGTGAAAAATAATTTTTTCTGTAAATTTTCATATCCAATTCAATTAAAAAACATTTTTATTTTTTTTATTCATTGCAGCCATTCGTTTTGTATTTGTTTATTGCATATATGTACATACATAAATATATTTTCCCTGCACGATTCATTTCGTTTGTTGTTTCGTCTGTAACTACTAAACTACTGTAGTGTACTATCGCCAAAGTGAACTCAGCCGTTTTGTTTCGTATTGTACCGAACTGTTAAAGTAATAAACGAAACGAAATAGTAACGTACAATATAGTTTATTTTCGTACACTGCTTGTAGGTACTTTATTCTACTAGAATTCAATGGGCTACAAAACTGCCTACTCAGAATTTAATTAAAAACTCGAAATTTTAACGAAAATTTATAGATTTTTTTTTTAATTGCATAAATTTTTAAAGCAGTGCCACTCGATTGGTACATTTGTGCAGATTTGTAAATTTTTGTATTGGGCTATTGGTAAACAAATGGGACATTTTTTTTGCATTCAAAAGATTGGTACAATACAGCGATGTTCTGTTGAAAAATTTCAATAAACAAATTTTCGTGATGGTGATAGTGAAAAATATTTTGGGTGTTCAAACAATTGGGATACGATTTACACCAAATTTTGGCAAATACCCAATCGTATGACATTGCCTTTAAACTTGTATTTATACGGATGTTGGTAAAGAACGAACTATAAAAAACTAACCGAAATTAAATAACAACAAAAATAATATTTTAAAACTTGTCATAATTTGGTGCGGCTATAAGTTTTTCGACTACTGTACATAAGTTGGCTATGATTACTCGGCCGTGCTATCATAGTAGCACAATGCCACTCATATTTGACTTACAAACAAAATACGGGCAGAAATTTAAAAATATCAACCCTGTTTTTATAATTTTTTTTTTTTAATCAGTATTTTTCTTTTAATCAAAATATGTTGAAATAAAAGTGAAACTATAAAACATCTTGGCTACGGCCCTGCTTATAACGGATATTTCAGTAAATATTGAATGCAAATTGTTGAAAATTAATATGTGAAGTAGAATTTCGTACAAAATTATATTATTATGAAAGTTTTGGAAAATGGGCGTGACCCCCCTCCCCCCACTTACGAATAAATGGTGTATCTCAGTAGCCCTTTCACCAATCCTTACCAAACTCGGTATGAGCCTTGATTAGGGTCCAGCTGAGAAATCTGTATATAACGGTAATTTACAGAAACACGAAAACTCCGATAAATCAGTCACTAATGAAGCTAATTGACTCAAAATCGATGATCGCAATAATCACTAACCGGAAAATTAGATTATTATAATTTTTTGGACAATGGGCGTGTCACCGCCCCCTTGTCACCACAAATGTGTATCTTGGTAACCAATTTATCAATTTCTACCAAACTCGGTGCACTTAATAATCTTGGTACGGAAAACCCATTCGTTTAAAATTATTCAAATCGGAGTAAAATTACACCTGCTTTCCGTATAACGGTAAATTTCAGTAACTGAGGACGCTTATTTACTCCAAGTTAATCTCTTAACAATAAATAACACTGCTATAGACTTTAAGGAATTGGACGTGGCATCGCCCATTTTATTAGTACAACGGTGTATCTCGGTAACCACTTTTTCGATTTCCAACAAACTTTCTTCAATTACATCATTAAGTCTAACTCAAAGAAAACGTTTGAAATGGGGGAAAACACCCAGGCTTTTCATGCAAAGACAATTTAGAGAAAGTTGAAATGACGTACTGAGTAACTGGTGCTTAGCCTCTTGTTCTTCATGCACCGTATTTATTTTTTTGGATATTCGTATTTTTTATGTACCACAGTGCTCCGCATATGGCGCGTAAAATTTTCGACTGTAGTCTTTGAAGTCTATTCAAAATGTGCCCGAAAGCCCAATTCTGCATGCCCATCATGGTTTCAATCACGCGTTTCTGCTTAGCGGCGTTCATTGTTGTTTATCTTTTGTCTTTGACGTTTCACCTCTATTTACTAAAAATAATCGATAAAGCAGGATTGCATACGGTGAAGTTATCTTTTTAATGCAGGATTATTTTATAACTTGGATTTAAGAGGAGACATTTTGTATTCCTAATTACCAGGACCGAAAAGTTTAAGCTTTTGCTTGGAATTGCTTATTTTGGTTATTCAGGGTTTCCCAGCTTAATTTTAACGAAAATGGTTATTTTGATTATTTTGCTTGTTTCAATGTATAGAGGTAAGTATGGACCTTTTAAGTAAATGGTCAAGGTTTTTTAAATATCGCTATTATTTCGTGTGTGTGAATCAGAGAAGCGCAGCGTGTATGATCAAACTGAGTATATCCCACTCACCATCCATAATTTGTTCTATTTATATGCATTCGTATTTACTGAAATGCCCTCGAACGTCATATCCACCCTTAAGTGAGAGGTATCTATCATACTTAATGTGACCAACTATTTCATAGCTCAAAGAAGTACAGCTTAGGTTGGGTTAAGTTAACGCCGCGAGCCCATTACAGAATTTCGAATGTGGCTAATTTCATCCCTGAGAGCTCAGTGTTTGTTCCGAAGTGCGAGCCAAAATGCTTCCAACTTAGCCACGCGAAGGTTGGACAGTCTATAATAAAGTGTGGAAATGATTCCATTTCATCTTCCTCTTGACAGCTGATACAAAAGGATTCTTTTTGCGCAGATTCGTAATATTCAAAGGGTGAATCCGACAACTGCAGTTACTTTTTATTTTAATTAATATGACTTTATTAACAACGGTATTTAGTCTTTACAACAAAAACAGATATTGTTTTATTGTAGTTGGAATTTATAAATTATGGTAGTTTAATGAGCTAATAAAATTGCTAGGAAATCAATTTGTGTAGTGGAAATGGCGACTGTAGAACGGCGACTGCCAAACAACTCTTTAGCTTGAACAGGAATTTGTGTATGTACACATATGTACACTGAGAAAAAAAAACGCGTTGGAAGAATAAACAAATTTTATTTGATTACCGTTTAAAAATGTTCGTTTTTAAATCAAATGGATTTTTTCATTATACATACACTACGTATAATGGAAATATTCAAATAAAATACGCCCGTATTGAAAGGAAGCATTTTCACTGCACCCATTCTTTTTCATATGTAATTAAGAAAGCATATGTATACAAAGCATGAAAAGCGGTGACAACGCATACATACATACATACATATGTACATACATACCCTACAAGACAGCTGAGTATCATATGAGTACTCATATTATCATTACCCCTAATCACAAAAGTGCTTATCAAAGTCCTCATTTTCGTTCAGGCCATGGGAAAAAATTGAGTACTTTCCCCTCAATGTTGTCATCAGAAAGTCCTCAGTACTAATAGTCAAACTACTCATTTATGCCGTACTACAAAAACAAAAGTGTAAATGTGTGAGAATTTTTGCCTAAAGTGCTCAGCAATGTCTTGTAGGGTACATACATACATACATATGTACATACATACATACCCTGCCAGCCAAGGCTCACCACTTTCCCCTAAAATTCAAACGATTTACAAACACGTCGAACTGTCAAAAAATGTGCCTTTGTAGAGCTACATACCCGATAAGAATTCGTACTCTAACAAGAATTCTATGCGTTAGAGCGAGCAAGTTAGAAACATCAGAGTTTTGATGACAGTATACATACTGTGAAGAAATGTCACTACGAAAACTTTGAAGGTAAGAATACGTATTTAACAATTTTATTTAATTATAATGTAATTTCTTCTTTTAGATTGCAAAAAAGCAGCGACTTAGTCACATTCTTAAGGTATGTATTGAGACTTTTTATATCTTTATAAATTTTAATTGATATTTTTGCTTGTTTACAGATTCACTATCAGCACCTTCAACGCTTGCATCTTCATCGCCAGGAGCACCATTAGAACCTTCTGCCCTCAGCTTCTTCATCGCCAGGAGCACCACCAGTACCCTCTACCCTCAGCTCCTTCATCGCCAGGAGCACCATGAGTACCTTCCGCCCTCAGCACTTTCAACGCCAGGAGCACCTTCAAAGTGTAGGTCCAACTTGTCAAATTT